TTCGGCCGAACCCGTACTTCAGCTTCTAGCTCCGCCTCGGGTCACAATTGGAGACTAGGATGGGTTCAAATCTCAATAGAAGTAGAAGTACACTAATAGCCCGTTTGGCCATTCTGCAAAAATCAGCTTATTTTGAGAAGTGTTTTTTTTTTCCAAAAGTGCTTTTCTCAAAAGTACTTTTGGTGAGAAGCAGTTTGTGTTTGGTTAATTAATTTGAAAAGCACTTCTGAGCAGCTATTAGTGTTTGGCCAAGCTTTAAAAAGCTGCTTCTAAGTGTATTTTTCTCAAAAGTGCTTCTCAAAAAAGTGCTTTTGGAAAAAAGTTACTTTTTTCTGCTTCTCGAAAACTACTTCTCCTTCTCCTTAAAATCACTTTTTTTCCTTCCAAAAGCTTGGCCAAACACCATAAAACACTTTTGACCAAAAAGAAGCTTGACAACAAGCTATAAGGTTCCATTTGCCTAGGTCTTGGTGGCAGAGTTATGGGATACCTATATTGATAAGAAGTAGCAGGTATGCAGTAAAATAATCGAAATGAATACAAATTGACCGGAACACTACTGTTATCAAGTACAAAGAAGGATGAATGTCACCAGGGAGGAGAAAAATCTATAAAAAGAAGGAAATTGCTAAGGCATTCCTATATTTTTTATGGTAATAGAAACTTTTCAATGATAGCAGGCAGGGAATGAACTCTCTTATTACAATGACAGTGATGATTGGTATAAGCATAAAGCATGTATAGTTGATTGCAGACAGGGGTCCCCAAGATAGCAACCACTGTCTCACTATCTTTTCTACCACGTGTTAGGACACCATGTATTCAAGCAAATACTATTTTATATGAACCTGTATCTTTTTTTTTTTTAATAATCTTAGTGTTTAAATTAATTTGTGCGTACTTCGACTAATACTAAGGATACTTATTGTCTTCTACCAACACAAGTACATAATAATTCTGTCTAATAAAGCTTGAATAAATAGAAACAAATTGCGTAATATTTTTATGTCCATTAAAATTTATATCTGAGACCTTATGGTTCACTAACTCATATATCTTATTAGTAGCCTACTGAGTGACTGCTTTTGGATTTAAAGCCACGAATATAGTTTACATACTTCATACTTGTCCAAGAAAACTGTTCTGGAGGGGATGGGATGTTTAGGTTGCATGTAATCATCCCTCCATACTCCATTAAAACTATTAGTATATCTTTTGAAACAGTGGCGAATTCAGAATTTTGTGCAAGCGGGTTTAGTCGGAGAAGTCCATAACTAACATAAGCGGGTTCAAAAATAATTTCTATACAAAATTTACCTTGTTTTAACCATAATTTATACATATACACAGTATTATTTTTTGACAAAGCGGGTTCAGTTGAACCCACTTCTCACCACTTGGGTCCGCCCCTGCTTTGAGGTCCATAAAATCCAAGGATCTACGTGCAGATTTTGTTTGTTTAATCATTGGTCCTAATTTCACTGACCGGACTAACTTAGTGGGCGTTTGGACATAAGAATTTTATAAAATTCCAAAAAAAGTAAAAAAAAATTTTAAGTCAAAATAGTATTTGAAAATTAGAGTTGTGTTTGAACATGAATATAATTTTGGGTTGTTTTTGAAGTTTTGTGAGTGAAAATTTTGAAAAACAGCTTTTTGGAGTTTTTTAAATTTTCAAAAAATTCCAAAATTCATCTTCAAGTGAAAAATGAGAATTTTATGGCTAAAAACTGATTACAAAAAAAAAAAAAAAAAAAAAAAAAAAAAAAAAAAAATTCAAAAAGAAAGTGAAAACAATTCTTACGACCTTAAATTAAGAGTGAAGAGATTCCAGAACTTCCATTACATTTCTGTTAGTTGCGTGTTAATATGATTCAAAATCATCGAAAATTTTGACGGAGGTAAGATTTCAATTCGGCAGCCATCGTGTGATGATACCTATTACTATTTCGTAATTACGTTGCTACTTAATGCGTAGACTAACGATCAATGAATTGAGCGAAAATCATGAAAAATTAAGATTTACAATCTAACAAAAACAAAAAAATACTTGGTAGTTTATTCTTCTGTTTCCAAATCTTAATAGGTGAGCGCTATCTGATACCAGGGGCGGATCTAGAATATGATATATGGGTTCTCGGGAACCCAGTAACTTTTGCGTAGACCTTATATTTTTGTTAAAGAATTTATTAAATATCTATTTATGAACCCAGTTATTATTGTATATTAATTTGAAATTGCGACAGGAACCGTAAATTTAAAATCTTGGATTCGCCTCTGTCTGATACAATGCTAGTTTGGCGGAGTTTGGTGGAATAATCGACCCAAATTTTGCTCCTTTTACGCACATGAATCCTGAACCCTAAAACCCTTATTAGTGTAGCTTAAAGAGGAAAAACAAAGAAAAAGAGAAAGAGAAACAATTATGCAGTCTTGAGATTTTCTGGATCAGAAGACTTTTTAATGATTATTCCACAAGTAAAGGACGCACTGCCATTGACCTCTGCTGTTATATATTAATTAGTGAATTTTCTAAATATAAACAATTTATTTGGACAATATTCTTGTTTTTGTGGAAGTAATTTATTCATCAACTTTGGCGTATACAGAGGTTAGTTTAATCATTAATGGTTATCTTTTTATAAATCAAAGGAACACGACAGAGGGACGGTCCACATGCTATGGTTCCGGTTCACGTGCGTGCATGTGAAAGTCCTTTCCCTGTCCCGTAATTGTAGTTATTATGCATGTATTCAACTTTGGTGCTTCTCATCATGTGATTTACTTACTTTTATTATTACTCTACTAAATTAAGTGGAGTTTTATTACGTACTATTCGTAGTAGTATTAGCAGGGGAGGATTTAGGGGTGCAAAGGTGTTCACCCGAACACCCTTCGCCGAAAAATTATACTGTATATATAAGGTAAAATCTGTTTTTTATTTCTATATATTAAGTTTTGAACACTCTTAACATAATTCAAAAGTGTAGTTTAGTGATCAAGGGAGTTCAAAATTTACATAAGGTCATGGGTTCAATTCCCACTAACTATAATTTTTTTTTGAACCCTCTTTGTGGAGATTCGACCTCCGCCACTGAGTATTTGTATATGTTAAATTTTAACTTTTCCCTTAACTTATACCTTTCCCAATTTACCAATCAAGAGGAGGACTAATAAAAGTGATAAATTCCTTTATCTTCCGATTAAATGTTACCTTGCTTCGGCATAAATATTTAACCTCCCCCCCACCCACCACACACACCACAACGCACACACACAAAAAAAGTTTCCAAATATTATGAAGTTATTATTGAGCTTAATTAGATGACAAGGCAAGAATGTCGAATGTCAAAGATAAGTAAATTATAACCAGCAAATTAATCCCATTGCTATTTCAACCAATTTTTGGAATGATTATTCCGATGGAAAATACCGAATCTTGAGTCTTGACAAAATGTACAAGTAACAATTAGCCTTTCAGTTTTTTCTTGTGTGTGTTTGGGTTGGGGGTGGGGGGTGGGGTNCCATCTTTAGCAAGTAATTTTAGTAAACATACTACCTCTGTTCACTTTTAATTGTCAAGTATTCTAAAAATAAATTTTTATTTTTACTTATCACTTTTCGCTTATCAATAATTTATTTTTTTCTATTTTGTCCTTAATATTAATTACTCATTCCAAATCACGATAAATTATGAACTTTATTTATTATTTCTTAAGAGGCGTGTAAAGTTAATAATGAACAAGTAAAAGTGAACAAAGGGAATAAAACACTTGTGCTTAATACATTAAACTTGGATTTCAATTCTCACATAATAGCGTAGCAACTAATAGTAGTAAACGTAAAAGCTATTTGCGCCGTCAGATTATCACAAATTTTAAACTGCAATTTGGACCTTCCAATCATATCGATTGTAGCAACCATAATCTATACAATAATAAAAGTATTCCTTGAAATACACTGAAACTTATATTAGCTTGAGAAAGGAAGATAATTAAAGTTGAAAAGTATAAAAATAAAAAAGCTAATCAATCTTAGCTTCATTCCACACGTCATTCGTCGCTTCAGCATATGCACAACCTAGTAGCTTCCTTTAAATTATTTTGACCTTGAGCATCACATGTCAAACATGACTTGACTTACATTGATATTTGAGAAGAGAAGTTTTTACTCTCTTTTTTTCTACTCCATCCGTTTCAATTTATGTGAACCCATTTGACTGAGCACAAAATTTAAAAAAAGAGAGAAGAATTTTAAATTTGTAGTGTAAAATAAAGAACATATATTTTGTGTGGCTATAAATCATTGCATAAAGGTAAATTGTTTCCAAATAGGGAAAGAGGTCATTCTTTTTGGCACGGACTAAAAAAAAATAGGTTCACATAAATTAAAACGGAGGGAGTATTAAGTATTCTGTACCCGTATTAAGGTCTAGGTGAATTTGAATTTGCACTATACAAACCCATTAAAAAGAAAAACGCTTCCTATAATATTTTTTTTATATTTTCAAGCTCGAACCCGAAATAGAGTGAAATTTGTTATGCCTTCCATAACAATGAATATTAGTATATTACATAGTTTCAATTTGAAGATAGTTGCTTCATTCACCAGAATTTTCTTACCATTTCTTTAATGATATTTATGTTTGTACATTATTCCGTTCTCGTTCATTTAATATCCCATCATTTGAAACTGGAATTTCTTATTTCAAATTTAAAATTTAAAATTTTAAAAACCGAAACATCTTAAATAACAATCCGAAAACATGCTTTCCCACTTGCATGAAATTTAGACTTCTTTTTTTTACCTTGGTGACAGTCAAAAACACTGAATCATTCAGCAGACAGCAGTAAACTACCAGTGGCTCTCAGTAAAAAAGTCATCAGTAACAATAATAAATAAATTATTTTTTCAGTCCTCTCTTCCACACTCTGTGCCGAAAGTTACAGTAATAGTATTTGTTTTTGTCTTTTCGTATTTTACGAAAAAAAGAAAGAAGCATTTGTATAGGATTACGATATAAGCGTTTACAAAAACAAGAAAAAGGTGAAGATGAAGAAGAAAACAGAAACAGAGAGAGAGAGAGAGAGAGTTACTTAAGCTTTGCTCTGTTTCATTTGCCTTTTGCTTGCTTGTTGGGAGCTTCGTTTTGATTCATTGGCTCTCTTTTTCTCCCAAATTAATTACTATTCCAGCCCATTATCCATTTTTTTAAATCGTTTAGCCGAAATTATTACAGTTACTAACTCATCACTCGTCGTTGTTTCGATCGGATCTGAAAAAGGAACTCAGAAAACAATACAAAGAAAAAGCAGTTCCCAATGCAAAGCTGTGACTCTTTTTGAGCGAGTTCACTTTTCGTCAATAATTATGACAGATCATTCATTCTTCTGCATATTGTAATCAGGTGAAATCAACAATCTCTGACTCTCTTTTTTTACTTTCATTCTTTCTCTGTGCTGATTTTTACAGTACTTCCTATTGCTCAAAATCTTCGATTTCTGGTGTTATGTGATCGGATAGTTGAAATGTAATCACTGACTCAGAGGCTGAGCTACATAGTTTGAAGGAGTTCAATTGAATTCCCTTCACCTGAAAATTATATTGTGTATGGAGGTAAAAGTAAATTTCTATGTATTACATAAATTATTGATTCTCCTTGTGAAAACTTCAAGTGTAGTTGTAAAATGTGGCCCACAATTGCGGTAGATTGTAGGTTTGAATCTCAAGTGTGTGTTTAACATTTTTTTGAATCCTCTTGTTAGAATTCATGGCTCCGCCAGAGAGTGAGTTGTGGTTTAATACCTCGAACGATTAGAGGTGGAGTCAGGATTTGAAGTTTATGGGTTCAAAAATTTTATCCTTTTAAGTTACTAAGTTCTAAATTAATAATTTGTAATTATTCAATGATTTTTTTAAGACAAATAATACATGATTTCGACCAAAGCTACTGGGTTCAGACCAACCTTGTAAGCTAAAGGCTAGCTCCGCCCCTTTCGAACAAGTCTGTGCTCATGACCGGTTAGGACGTGTTGTCTGATCATTTTATTCTGAGCTACTTCCTCAATTTGTTCATTGGCTTTTTGCTGCATTATGCGATCATGACATCAAGTCTTGTTTGAAAAGAAGTAGTAAAATTTAGTTAAAATGACATTGGTAGCTAAATTTCTTCAGTTTTAATTGTGTGATGGCAGTGTCTAATACCAAAGAACACAATGGAGGCACTTGTTGATGGAATCAGTTCCTTGCCACACGATCACAATGCTTTCACTGCTGTTGAGTGCAATATGTCTTCTGCAACCCTCACATCCCGTGATAATATAAAAAGTGATGATGTCTCTGAATCAACGAGACACCATTCTGAAGCAGATGAAGGGAAAAAGGAATTAAAGGGAACAGAAGATACCGGCAATCAAATGGCAGACGGTTGTTCAGGAGAGCAGGTTTTAACCTTTGAAACTAAATCATCTACCAAGGATTTACATAATGGTTTTACTTCAAATGCTGCTGCCAAAGCAGCTGGCAATCATTTAAAAATCGAGTTGCCACCTCAATCAGGAATCAGCTTTTGTCCTAGTCCACAAAACAGCTTTTATTCCGCTACACAATACACAGAAGCCAAACAAAGTTTCTCCAACACAGAAGTCAGTGAATGCATTAGCAGCACTGTGGACAAGTCTGGTGAAAGTGGTGATGTTAGTAACTCATGCGATTTCGTTGAGAGCAGAAAGACAAGCTTCAACAGAGGCAGCACGGGTAGTGACGTTAGTGAAGAAAGCAGCTCTAGTAGTCTCAATAGCGCAACATATAAACCGCATAAGGCAAATGATACAAGGTGGGATGCAATTCAAGCCATTAGAACCCGTGAGGGAACGTTGGGCTTCAACCACTTCAGACTTTTGAAGCAATTGGGATGTGGTGATATAGGAAGTGTTTTTCTAGCAGAGTTGATTGGAACAACAAGTTTCTTTGCGATGAAAGTGATGGACAAGGCAGCTCTAGAAAGTCGCAAGAAACTTGTAAGAGCTCAGACTGAAAGAGAGATATTGCAGTCTTTGGACCATCCATTTCTACCAACACTGTATTCACACTTCGAAACAGATAAATTTTCCTGCTTGGTTATGGAATTTTGCCCTGGGGGTGATTTGCATGCACTTAGGCAAAAACAGCCCGGGAAATTTTTTCCCGAGCATGCTGCCAGGTCAGTGTTTTATATGTGTTTTTTGTATCTTATTCACGTTTTGTTCTGTGTTTAAGATCTCCAACTATTACTGCAATTTTAATGATAAAAAAATATTTGACGTTGCTGCCTGGATAAACCAATATGTTACCATATGTTATGCTATTGGCAAAGCTGGCATAAGTATTCTTTCAAAAAACCTGCTATCATTATTACGCTTTAAGTGTCCTAAAAATTGGTTGAAATGGGAGTACTTTTGATCTATTACATAAGGAAGATCCTTCAGAAAGTGAAGTAAGGCCCTCTATGATATCTTTCTTCTGATAATTTTCTCACCTCTATCGGCCTTGCTGTTCTACAATGATCAGTGATATTCTGCACTGTGCTAAATTTGCCGATGACTAAGTTTCTTCCAATTGTATTCTAGACCATATATGTTTGTTTGCCTTGTTGTCTCCTCACTTAAACGTTTGCATCTCACCCAAGCTATTCTTATTTTTTTCGACATTGAACTCAGACCTCAGAACCTTCCTGCTATGTTCACTTCATTCTTTTCCTGTTACATGTTCTCATTTTTTTTCCGGTGTCATTTGATTTGAAAAGGAAACTGACTGGTATAAGGTAGTTTTTTTCTGGTGCTGACATAGTTGATTATAACTATGTAGTTTCACTTAGTCAAAGATAAGTTCATTCGGATGAAAGATTGAGATATTTAGTCTTTAATGATTATAAATAGTACAATTGTATGCTTTTTGGTCGCCTAGCATGCACAATATTCACAGACATTGCATCCTCTTTGATCAGTAAGAGCAGGGACGAAGGCACATGGCCGTAAGGGTGATCAATTGACCAGCTTCGTCGAAAAATTACACCGTGCATATAAATAAAATATTACATTTTAGAGGTATATAACACATGTGAGATTATACCGGGTATGTTGTTGTTGTTGTTGAGGTATATAACACATATTGAACACCTGTTGTCGGGAATTTTTTTCACTTCTTTTAAATTTGAATACCCTTGAGGAAATTCCTAGCTTTTCTGCTGAGTAAGAGTACTGCATTTATGCTTCAAAGAATAATACTAAATTTAAGATTAGTTATGGTTTTTACAGTTAATTTCTCTTTTGGAGTATAGGTTTTATGTGGCTGAAGTTCTTCTTGCACTAGAGTACCTGCACATGCTTGGAATCATTTACAGAGACCTTAAACCAGAGAACGTTTTGGTACGAGAAGATGGTCATATAATGCTTTCTGATTTTGACCTTTCCTTGAGGTGTGCTGTTAGCCCAACTTTAGTTAGATCCTCAAATTCAAGCTTAGAGTCCAAGAGCTCATCCTACTGTATCCAGCCATCTTGTGTCGTACAGCCCGCATGTATCCAACCTTCATGTTTTACACCGCGTTTTCTAAGCAAACCCAAGAAAGAAAAGAAGTCCAAACCAAAGACTGAAATATACAACCAAATGAACCACCCTCTTCCGGAACTCCTTGCGGAACCAACGAGTGCTCGATCTATGTCTTTCGTGGGGACACACGAGTACCTGGCTCCTGAAATTATTAAAGGTGAAGGACATGGAAGTGCTGTAGATTGGTGGACATTCGGGATCTTTCTCTACGAGCTCTTGTTTGGACAAACTCCGTTCAAGGGAGCGGGCAATAGGGCAACATTGTTTAACGTTGTTGGTCAGCCCTTGAGATTTCCTGAAACACCTACTGTTAGTTTTGCTGCAAGGGATTTGATAAGAGGTTTACTTGTGAAGGAGCCACAGCATCGCCTTGCATATAGGCGCGGGGCTACTGAAATAAAACAACATCCTTTCTTTCAGAACGTAAACTGGGCACTTATACGATGTGCTAGTCCTCCAGACGTACCCAGACCGTGCATGACATATGATATGCCCCGAACACTACCAGCAGGAAAGGTGGCAGGTGTTGATGTGAAACCTTCAGGTAATTATTTCGAGATTGATTTCTTCTGAGTAATTCTTTTCCTTGGCAGCTATGTCCCCCTGCAGTTATACGAAGAGCCACGTTGAAGAAACACCTGTTTTTTGTGTTCATTTGATTATGCAAATGTAAAGTGCAGACTCTGTTGAAATGCAAATTGGATGTTGAAGGCCATTTTTCCTTGCACAATTTTTCAGAATTCGAACTTATACAACTTGGAACAATTGCTTTCTGTCCAAGGTTAAGTATGTTGTTAATATTAATGAAGTAGGACTTGATGTGAAAAATAATGTGGCTATAAAACTAGGCATTATGTGATGTTTCAAAGTTTACAACTGAAGAACCAATAGATGTGCAATTGTAACAGCCTAGTCCACTAGTACTATCGTTCGCTTTGGGCTTAGGTCCACACGGCTTTAAAACACGTCACTAGAGTAAACCCAATATCTCTCCCGTGTTTTGTTGATGTGGGATTCGAGAGTATCACAACAACGATTCAGTCGATGAAAGGGACAGTAAATACTTGTTTAAATTGGCAAAACTGTGAAAATCTTGGGTAATTGTAAGGGGTAGATCTAAAGGTATGAGTATGGGTTCCCAGGAACCCAATAGCTTTTGGCTAGATTATGTATTTGTATTAAGAAAATCATTCAATGTATAAGAATATTTAGTTAGGAACACAATTCCTTAGTCCGGTCATTATAATATACTAATTTGAAGTCATATGAAAACCCATAAACTTAAAACTCTGGATCCAACTCTGATAATTGTATAGTCTTAATTCAGCGAATCAGCTAGGAGCAAGATTGCCCATCTGGAGAAGTGACAATTTTAGTCGCTCTTTTTAATTAACCATTTCAGTCTTTAATTGTTCAACACTGAACAAATATAGCCCATTAATATACAAATAAAGGCACTTTTGGTCAAATCTAACAAAACTTAAATGGATTTTGTTTCAAAGGAAATGGACTGGTCATACTCATACATGATAACACAAATACGTTAAAGAAAAGAACAACTTTGCTCTAAATATGAAAAAGGACAATAAACAAATACTATGAATAGAAAAGAAACACAATCTAGTAGAATAAAGAATGATGAATGGTTTATTCAGTTGTATGTAGAATGAGCTATTCCACCATTACTTTCGACAATCACGGCCGCAAAAATTCATGATTTTGAATCTTTAATTTTCTTATGTTAAGAGGATCCAAAAATTTATATATAAATAGGAAAATTTATTTTTACCTTCTATTATAATTTTCTCCCTATGGTCAATTGATTTATGATCAATTACATATTTTAGTTTTATGTCACATTTTCCAAGAGATCTTTATTTTTTTACATAAAAGATTTAAAAGTAAAATATATGAGGTCTTTTGCCGCGTAATTTTCTTTTATTGAAATTGTAAAAGATAATATTAGATATTGATATATTGTTTCTTCTCGTTTTCTTTTCGTCTTTATGAGCCGAGAGTCTATCGGAAACAACATTTCTGTCCCATCGGGTAGGTGTACACACTAGCCTCTCCGGACCCCGCTTGTGAGATTTTACAAGGCCGTGTTGGTGTAGTTGTTGTAAAAGGTATTGTTAAATTTATTTTCTTCCAATGTACTGTATAGTAACGAAAACAAAAGACTATATTTGATCAGTCCAAAAGAGGAACAACGAAAAATGAGCACTTTTTGTTATACAGAAACAAAAATAACTAACTCCAAACTTATGGGACTAGAATGAGCACTTTTTGTTAATTTTAAATACGAAAATGGAGCGTGAGACTCACGATCCACCGGTCGTTGTCAACGATATCATTTCATTTCCTCTTAAATCCCAACTCAGTCTCTGCCTAGCAAGGCTTATGCCTTTTAAACATCTACGGCATTCTCTTTCCTCAATCACATTTTACTTGCACTTCTCTCCAACAATCTCTCCAAAACCCTTCTTCACTCGCTTCTCTGCCGTAATCCTATCTCACGTGATGGCGGCAACACCGGAAAACTTCTCCACCGACGCTACTACTACCGTCGTCACCGACGCCGAAGCCGACGATGTTAAGTTTGGGTTTCAGCGTGCGGAGATGTACCAGAGTAAACTTGCGGGTACTGCTACTTCCTACGATCGTCATCTGTTCCTCTGCTACAAATCTCATGAGACTTGGCCTTCTCGCGTTGAAGCCTCTGATTCCGATCTGCTTCCGAAGTTACTCTCTGATGCTCTTAAAGCTCGTAAGGATGATATCAAAATTAAGGTTAGTTTTAACCTAAACTGATTACTTTAGTTAACGGCTCTACGAGAAACTTCTAGACTCGAATTAAAAGGGAGGTGGATGCCGTTCGCCTAATTGAAATGCCACGTAATCGGTGGATTTGATACTCTATCAGCTTTCTAAGTGGGTCACTGGAATAATGCTTTTAATTATTTTGTGTTCTATAATCATTTTTAGAGCGGGATTCATAGAACGAATTCAATTAATTTGAGATTGAGGTGTAGTTGATTGATTGATATTGATCGATTGTTTATTTTCGTGATTGTTTCTTGTAGACTATGTTGACGATTTGCGAAGTACGTGATGACATGGAAGTATCAGATGGAGATGTTTTGATTTTTCCTGAAATGATCAAATACAGGTAGTTTATTTGTTTGTTCATTTTAAATTCATTTATTTTCAAATTTGGCATTGAGCAGCAGAAAGCTGATATTCCTTGATATTCCATGTATTATGGGATGAATGAAACATTACCTAATTTTAAAACAAGAAATGAGAAATAAGCATTCATGAATTTGACTTGATTCTATTAGCTGGATCCCAGCTTTTTTATATCAGAAGAAAACAGTTTTGATGTAGGTAGATACCGCATTGAAGTTGCCCGCATGGCTTCGTTCAAGTGGCAAAGGTTGAGGGAGTTGTGACTTAGATTACTGGTTCGGTCCTGCATCATGCGAACTAAGCCTGGTATTTAAGTGGGGACGGGTAGAGGGGTTGGCCAATTTTCCCCAAGTTTTGGAGGCTGCTGGGTCTTAAGGGTTGGCCCCAGACAGATTCCTCGGCCATCAAAAAACAAAAGATTCTGCACTGAAGTTACTTTTTGCTTTACATGCTTTTTCTTTGGTTGCTTCAATATGTCGATCTCAACTTGTATGCTTCATCCCAATCAATTCTGTCTCATGGTCGATATCCACGTCTTTTGTCTATGGTGAAGGGATTTGAAGGAGTCGGATGTGGATGCATTTGTTGATGATGTGCTTGTCAATGGCAATCCTTGGAGCTCTGGATCGCAGGAGTCGCTGAGTGGTTCTTATGTGTTTGTCTGTGCCCATAATAATCGAGATAAAAGATGTGGTGTTTGTGGACCAATTCTGATTGAGGAGTTTGGCAAGGCGATTGAGTCCAAGGGCTTGAAAGACAAAGTTTATGTGACAGCTTGTTCCCATATTGGTGGCCACAAGTATGCTGGTAATGTCATAATCTTCAGTCCGGACAAAGATGGGAAAATTGTTGGCTACTGGTAAGTCCTATTCTTCTCTTATAAAGGAAGACCTGGATGTTGTTTTAGCACTAGACTCCAGATCACTTTGTACTCTAATAAGGGTAGTTCTTCATGCATTTTTGAAAATCTTTTACCTTGGATAACTATTACTATAGCTAAGTTTTTTGTATTTGGTTGGATGTAAAGGTATTTCACATATGATAATTGTAGAAGGTGAGAGAGGGGGCAAGGGGGATGGTGTTCTGGGCATATTTTGAACGCTAAATTGACACTGTTATTTACATATTGGTTGAAGCAAGTGAAATAAATTACGAGTTGTGATACTTTAGAGGAATGGTCAATTTTTCCATTCAGTTCAAAACATTTCCGTTGTGAAAAGATTTTGAACAATTTAAGCCAACGTGGAAAATGATTTCATAAAGAAAAATACACTTTCTAGTTTCTAAGCAGCACCTTAAGGGTCAAATAAAGAAGCTTTGCATTAGACTGTCCATTACAGACATGTTATATGTGCTGCCTTAATGTAGGTATGGCTATGTTGCACCAGATGATGTCCCTGTTTTGCTTGATGAGCATATTGGAGAGGGAAAAGTCATTGAACGACTTTGGAGGTTTGTATTGGTTGTCCTTTCCTTTGTTTCACTTTTGCATGCTTTGCTGTTGTTTTGCCACATGGTGCAAGTTGCAACTTTTCTGTTTGGCTTTTGGAAGATTGGCCCTTGGCTGCTTGAGGAAATATCATGATGTTTTCCATGGTTTAAGACTCTAGCAAGATAAATCTTGTTTTTCAACTGTGAGCTTGTGACTCAATGTACTCTTTAACTATGCGATTTGCTCATACCTATATCAATTTTTGAGGGAGCAGCAGTTGCTTCCTTTTCCTTTGAGGTGGAGCAGGGGAACAATGTTAGTACTTTCTCAGCGTCACTCACTTACTCAGTCCTCTACTACTAAATTGATCACTTAAGCTCTTGTCATTATTCTAGATGTTGTCTATAGAAATGGATTTTAAGAACCCACCTGTTCCAATTTGCTTTGCAGTTTCCGCATGAAACCAGTCACCATGATTCTTTCCATTATTACAGTTAAACTTCCCCCAAACTGAAGTGTTATTTGCGCCATACCTCCACATCTTCTATTTTCCCTAAGCAAATTTCACAGCACTAAGTAGTGAGCTTAAGATGCATAGTTGCCTCATAACCTCATTTGCTCCTATTGCTGACTTTTGCATAAAAGGCTATCATAAGACAATTATTGGAGATACGCCTATCGCAAGACAATATAGATCATTTAATGATTGCTTCCATAAAAGAAAAGTTTCATTAATTAACAAAAGGTTGTCTCTTATCAAATTAGGAAGAAGAAATGGTTGTTAGTAGAGCATAAAGGGTATCAGAAGATGATGAATCCCAAGTTATCGGGATCTGTGTTTGTCTGTCCCTACTTATTTGATTGGTGTGAGGTGCCATGCTTAGTGTCGATTTTAAGACTGGAAAGGTTTTGGTGGTCGACTGTTCGGAAAACTTGTTTACTTTTGCTATCTAATTAGGTCATAGTGTGGCAAAACTTATTCCTTTCAATACTAGTTTTGGACTAGTGGTAAGGTGATCCGTTTCAATTGCAGAAAGGGGATATTCTTGGGTTAAGAGTGTTATCACTTAGACATTGTGTAAACGGAAGATTTTCCCATTATCAATAAAATTATTTGCATTATAAAAAAAAAATCACTTGGACATTGTTTGTTGATGGTATTATATAAGTATATCCCATACAATAGGCCACCTAATTTCAGAAACGCGCAGCTTATTCCTTTCTCTGCATCTCTTGATCATTATGTGGTCAGGAGGGAGACATGTTACTTCTTAAATATTTGTCAGTTNTTCTACTCTGCTCTTCTGTAGGGGCCAAATGGGACAATATGATAAGGTTACTGAGAAAGTGAATGAACAGAGGGTTCCGGAAGTAACCAATGAAGAAACGAAGCCTCTAGAAAATGGAAGCCAGGAGAGTGTAACTGATTTCAGCTGTTGCCAAGGTGCTGCAGGAGTTTCTTGTTGTAGAGATGCAAGTGCTGAGCAGAAAGAGAGTAAGAAGGGGCAGGGAAGAGTTTCAAACTGGTTCGGCAAATGGGAGCAGCGTGAGGTTCTCACAGTCGTGGGCGTGGTTGGAGCAGTGGCTGTTGTTGCTGTGGCTTATGGCTTTTATAAGAAGGCTCGGTGAAATGTCATCGTCTCATTGTTAACTTGGCATAAACTTGGCGCTCAAGAGTCTTCAGGCATCTAGTTCTTGTAGAAAGGTAATAATGTTCGTTATAATCTCGAACCATGATATTGCATACATATTGGTATACGTTAATCTAAGAGTGGAAATGTAATGCAAAGTGTAATTCCACTATGGAGATGAGTTCCTTTGCTCATTCCCAACAAGAACCTAGAAAGGCTGTTAAATATAAAGTGCCAACTGATAGCTACAGGTACCCTTAAGTAACACCATACAGAAATTCTTTAAACTCCAGATGCCTTGCTGGTTTTTGTTTCTCCTTGCTTGGATTCAAGGGTGAATGAGATCAATATGGTTTTGTTAGGTTCTCTATCTTAAGTTGGTAGATTCACTAATTCTCTGGAGGCTGGGCTGGAGTGCAGCTTCTGAGTCGTTATGGGCAACTTTTGCTTTTTTTCTTCTTCTTGTGAAACAGGGTGATAGTTTCTTCAGCCTACGCCCTTTGACCACTTTGGAAACGACTCAGAATACTTCTTGATGAATAGCTAGCAAACAGTAGTGATATGTCTGGTCTAAGAAATTGTTGACAGAGTTGTTTTGTTAACAGTTACTGAATGTTACAACTTACAAGTGCGTTTATACGAGGCTTGGTAGATATAGTAAACTTTAGGCATCTTTTTCATCTCAACTGCCCACCTTTGGGAATTTGAAATGACAGAATTCTTCCTCTTCGTATGCATTTCTGGTTAAATAATTGATGGAAGATTTGACAAATAAAGAAAGAATCTTTGTTCAATATATGGCAACATGTGGATTTTGCCACCGTAGTTTCAACTTATGTAAACCGAAATGAAAACTACGCAAACATGCACAATTTAATCTACTTGTCCAGTATGTGCTTTACAAGCTCACCATCCGGCAAAAATTCCACAACCACAACCCTTCCATAAACATCACCTAAAGAATCAAAAAGAATTATCATTACTGAAAAGAGAGGTTAATCTTATGGACTTTCAGCAAATACTTACCACAATTCGCTAGACCTATTAATCTGCATTCATGTAGCGTTAAGTCCACTAAAAAGGGTGCTGCTTCCTACGGGGAATTTCTCGATTCCAAGGGCTCAAACCCTGAGAAACTTCAGTTAAGGTGGAAGGATCTCGTCCACTAGCTCAACCTTTGATTTGAGCAAATACTTGTTGACATATGATTGTTATATATTGAAGCTACAAAGATGCAGGACAGTTGAGCAACTCATTTCTGACCTTCCCGCTTGTTTCCTGTGCAATCTGTATGAATATCCTGGATCTGTTGATGCTATAGCAGTCATTGACTAGTAAGCTATGTACCTGATACCGACATCCAGAAATACTTAAACCATATCTAAATGCGGATAACACACTTGAGCAGATGTCGTTTGTCTCAAACTTCTGAAAATATGAAACTCTTTCAGCACAATTCCGCAGAACGTTTCAATTAGGATCATTGCCTGCCTCTCTCATTTCGCCTCAAAATTTCTTAGGAATCTATAGATGTGCTCTTAAGTCCCAGTGATATCACTTAATGGCTAAAAAGACATGGACTTAATTCCTAAAGTCTCACAACACTTTGGCCAGTTATCGTTTTCAACTGTTTCTCTTTAATTGAACCTCTAAGTTCAGCTGCACCATCCCACTTTCCATCAACAGCATACACATTTGATAACAAGATATAGTACCCTGCATGATCTGGATCTAATTGGAGAAGCTTCCTGGCAGCGACTTCTCCAATCTCTGTATTCTGATGAATCCCACAGGCACCAAGCAAGGCCCCCCACACGTGTGCTCCAGCCCGTGAGTGCATTTGATTAATAAAGCACATAGCCTTGTCCAGTTCTCCAGTTCGTCCGAGTAAATCAACAATGATTGCATAATGCTTTGATTCTGGCATCAGTTGGTACTCATTTAACATCATATTGAATAATTCAATTCCTTCCTCAACAAGACCTGCATGACTACAAGCTGCTAAAATTGAAAGGAACGTAACTTTGTTAGGCCTAACTGAGGAATCTCTAACCATACGATGAAATAACTTAATCGATTCCTTAGCTTGTCCATGAATTCCATAGCCTGCAAACATGGAGCTCCAGACAACAATATCTTTATCATCTGTTAATCCTTCAAAAACCTTAACAGCCTCCTCCAAGCTACCACATTTTGCATAGCATTCAATAAGTGAAGCCCCGACGAAAGAATTGCTGGTGAATCCTCCTCTAATTACATAACCATGAAGACAAGAAGTCAATTGAATAATCCCCAACTCAGAACAAGCTCCAAGAATTTTAACCATCACAGTAGCATCAGGCTGGATATCACTAGACGTCATATCACAAAAGATTTGCATCGACTTGTAGAACATTCCATTTTGAACACAACCACATAACAGAGAAAACCACGAAATATCATCTTTGTTCAGCATTCTATCAAATACCATAATCGCTTCCTTAGGTGAACAGCAGCTCATGTACATATCAATTAAAGCCGTGGAAACCAATATATCTAGTTCAAGACCTTTCTGGAAAGCTAGTTCATGTATTTTCCTACCTTTGTCCAAGTTACAAGAAGCTTCACATGCTTGCAAAGCACTGATCACACAAACCAAATTGGGTTCAACACCTTTATGTATCATCTCATCAAAAAGACTTATTGCTCTATCAGTAGCACCATTATGAGCACAACAAGAAATTATACAACTCCATGAAATTACATCTTTTTCTTCCATCATCCTAAACAAATTTACCCCATACTCTATGGACCCAGTCTTTGCATATAAATTCAACAAAGCGTTGGATACAGGTAGGGGACTTTTATTATTCATTCTAATTACAAGCCCATGAACGCTTTCCCCAGCTTTTAGATTCAGCAACTGAGTACAAGCAGAAACAACAGTGGCAAGGGTTACTGGATCTGGACTAACGCCACGTGTCATCATCATTCCAGTAAAAACAGCTAATGCTTCATCAGGCTTAAAACTTTGCTCATAACCAGTAACCAATGTTGTCCACAAAACAAGATCAGGCTTTGTATATTCCTCAAAGACGCGTAAAGCGTCGTCCATATCTCCACATTTTGAGTAAAACTGAATGAGGGTCGAGCCTAGAAACATGTTTGAATGAATGTTACCATGTTTTATCCCGAAGCCGTGAATCGTTTTGCCAAAATTTAGTGCTTTTAATGCAGAACACGACTTTAATGCAAAAAGTAATGTGAAATGATCAGGCTTTTCGAATGACAACATAGATGAAAAGAGAGACAGTACTTCCCCATATCGTTTTATTCCAAAAAAGCGTTGTAGAATGCGATTGTAGGTGTATGCACTTGGGTGAGGAATTTCATCAAACACTTTACGGGCAGTTTGAACAGGTAACAATTCGAAATATAGCTCTGTCAGTTTAGCGGCGAGTTGAATGTCTTGATTTAGTCCAGTTCTTATGATTAGAGAATGCAATTGGGTCAGCAATTTGGCTGTTGTACATACTCCGACAAGCTTCAAGACAATTTCCCGTGATCTCATAAGTAGCAAAAGGATAACAGCTCAAGTACAGAAGACAAAGTAGTGCAAAGTCAAAAGCTAGTTACAGAGAGGGAGATTTAGTTACAGTTAGTTGAGGTAGTTAGAATAACAGAATTCTGTTTGAAGGAATGTGCTGTAGCTTTATCATTGTAGATAGGCAGAATTAGGGGTCGACGTTCAGTATTTCGGTTCGGCATTTCGGTATTCGGTTTATCAATTGTATATACCAAATACCGTACCATAATATTTTAGTACGATTCGGTATTTCTTATTTTGGTTCGGTACTATTTTGGTACGGTTTCGATTTAAACCAAATCTTCGTTGTCTCCCCCTCCATTAACTAGCAAACATGGCGCCAACATTATTTTACCTTCAATTACTCTAATATTGTGCTTTCTTTTTCTTGATCCTCTAAAGTTGTTCACGGAATCTTTTGCCATTCGTTTGATACCTACATTTATGTGTTTGAGCCTATAAGATCCAGAGTATTTCAAAAGTTACATCGACTTTTTACATTAAGGCCAATGCTGGTAGCCAATTTAATTTGAGATTAAGCACTACACACCAGATTAAGAACTTTGTATTAAGGCCAATGCTGAAAAAGTGATCGTTCTACTACACCACTATGTATTTTGAGGTCCGAAAATTACAATGATGGTAAACCAGCCTCCTTTTCTAGTTGCCAATTCTGCTTTCCGGATGCATTTCTCCTCTGGGGGGTTCACTGTAAATAAATGAAACTTATATAAGAACTTTATACAAGAAAATGGCATAATTTCATGAATAAAATATATGCCAAATTGTGAATTACCATTCTCAAATGAAAGCTTGAACCGAAATAGAGAGACTTTCTCAAATAAATGAAAATATTAACTTGAAAACTTCCCGTGACAAGTTTAACTTATTCTACTTCCTCTCTCATGTTTAAATGACTGAGAGACAAGCTTGAGAATACTTTAAGACATGCATATGCCTTCAGGTTTTTTGTCGCACAGCTTTTATGCTCAACAAATGACATTAGAGCTATTGATATTCCTAAAAGGCTCGAGAAACTCTGGTGTGTAGTGTTTAATCTCAAATTACAAACTCTGAGAAGTCCGAGAAATTTTAGAAACAAGTTGACAGTAGTGAGATTTGCTTTTGATCTCACTTCATTAAACTATACCGAAATACCGAAATATCAATAATCCAATACCATATACTGTACTGAATTACCGAAATACCGTAATTTATGTACCGAAATAAACCGAAATACTGAAAAATCGAAATACCAAATTAATTCGGTTCGATTCGGAATTCGGTTTTTCGGATTTTATGCCCACCCCTAGGCAAAATGGCCTAAATGGCACCTATACTTGTGACACTTTGTCATGCAGGTCCTCAAACTTAACAATTTGCCAATTGAACACTTACACTCCTTCAAACCGTATATAATAACCGTTTATAACCATTGACCAAGCTTATGTGGCATTAAATCAGCTGAGTTGGACAAAATGTATGAAATACACGCGTATAAAGCGAGTGTAAACAATGAATTTGATTTAACACTGATATGAGATTTAAATCAAATTCCTTAGGGCAAATCATTGATGTAATTCCCACAACTAACATCCAACAGGACCAACATATCACTTTGATCACTAACAATAACTTATAAGAAACCACTTAGGAAGCCTAGTTCTTGCCATAACCCATTTGATCTTTTTTTTTTCATTGTTTTGTTTTTCTCAGAGCAATTATGAGCAGAAAATTAGAAAGAGGAAGAAGAATTTTGTATGCAAAGAAACAAAGAAAGAGGAAAAGGGAAGAAGAAGAAGAGATGCGGCAGAAAATGAAGAAAAGAGGGGAAGGTGAGAGAAAGGCTAAGGTATGGAATGGTATAGCCCCCTTCTCTGAGTAATATTAGGTCAAAATTCGATTTTATTTCTCTATGTATATATATAACACAGATTTGGATAATCACTCCTTAAATTTCACTCCGCGAATTCCCCAAACCCAAATTTCTAGTTTTTGTTCCCTATGTAATTGTAATCAAAATTCTATTTTGTTTCTCTCTTTGTAATCAATTTTTAGATGGGGGCATACACAGGTGAGAGAAGGCACAGGGTAATTGGAGATAAGAAAGAACTCACCGGCGAGAATTCCCGGTGGTCGGAGGAAACCGGAAAAGCATGATGATTTTTATGTTTGAATTTTATTTTTATTTTTGATTTTAATTATTTTTAATCTATCATGTGATATGACATCTACAAATTGTTATTTTCTGACGTGGCAGCCAACGTGGAGGAGATTGTATTACACGCACTGACAGCCTCCTGTCATAAGCGTTTATTATATATGGTTTGAAGGAGTGTAAGTATTCAATTAGCAAATTGTTAAGTTTGGGGACCGGCATGACAAAGTGGCACAAGTATAGGTGTCATTTAGGCCATTCTGCCTTGTAGATACTAGTGTTTTAAAAGGCGATTTCGAGGCAAACCCTGGGGCGAGGTGCACCAAAAAGAGTACGAAACCTAAATGCCAACTTTTTGGACTCAAAATACCTTTCTACTGCCCAGAAAAAAAGGTTACTTTTCTATATCTAACGCGGTATTATACCGTGTTATACTTTAATGTTGTTTCTGCCGTTAAAGTATAACGTGGTATAATAACGCGTTATATATAGCGTTGTATAATACCGCGCTATATATAACGCGTTATTATACCGCACTATGCCTGTTAAATAAAAAAAACCCTTCTTCTTCCCACGACAGAAACAAAAGCTNACCTAAGCCTTCTATTGTTGTGGTTTCTTCGTTTCGGGCTTAAAATTTCAATTTTTTGACTTTTCTAAACAAAGTAAACCAATGTATTCAGATAGTATTTCGTGTCTTTACAAATGATCCATTCTCTTCCTTTTATAGCTATCTCCAAGTTATACGTTATGCCTTTGTCATAATAAGGCCATTATAGACAATTATAGGTGTTAAACGGGTGGGTCGGGCCGGGCCGGCTTGCTATTTTTTGGACCCGTACGGGTTACGGTCCAGGCCGGTTACGGGTTGGGGCTTAACGGGTTCGGGTTCATCCGGGTAAAAATTGAACCGTAAGGGTTACAGGTTAAGGGGATCGGGCCGGGTTTAGTGTATTTTTTAATTTTTTTGTATTTTGTATAACTATTGTAAGTTATATTAATAATTTGTATTAATTTAAAGATTACAAGTTATATTAATATAAAATTATTAATATAAATTGCAAGTGCTACATTTATTTCAAAATTCAAAATTAAAGTTTGCATTTAAAAAGTAAATTAACAAAAAATAGTAAAACTAAATTTTCATGCATAATAAATTAACAATACTTTAAATTAATCTAACAAACTAAAACATTAAGCGTAAATACGTCCAATAATTTTAAAATAACACAAATTGTCTTAAAATCTTAAATACGAATTTCCGGAGGACGCTCAAGACAATACTTTATATGCCTCCTTAAACTGCTTGTGCCAGACTCTGAACGAAAATTTAAAACTTGACCATAGTTCTTGCACTTTACTTTCTGACCTTCTTCATTTTCTTCTACCACCTCAAAGTGTTAGCCAAACATATGAGCGCACTCTAGAAGTACGAGGCATGATTTAAATTGAATTGAGATTTGAGAATTTGAGATTGAGACTTGAAATCTTGAAAATTGGAGAATGAGAGAATGAGAGAAACTGAGATTGAGAAATGAGAGTTGAGTGAAGAAATGAAGAAGAGGGGGGTGTATTTATAGTTTTAGAGAAGGTTAATTTTGTAAGTTGAAAAAAGGTTAAATTTTAAAGAAAAAAGAGGCTATTAATACAATTAACCTGTTGGGCAACGGATCCCTGCCAGGTCTGACCATTGCCAACGGTTAGTGGGCCCCACTTAATTCAAAAAATTAAAAAAAAAACAGAAAAAAGGTTGTACCGGGCCGGGCCGGTTTAACCGGTACACGATACTGTTCACGTGGACCGGGTTTGACCGGTCCGGTTAACCGTTACCAAAATTTAAACGAACCAACCCCCTCTACCCCTCCTACCCAGCCCCACCCAGCCCCCTATGTACCGGGCCGGTCCGGTTATGGGTCAACCCGATCCGTTAGACACCTTTATAGACAATTAAAGGCATTAAATGCTACGTTACATAATCATTAGGATTTAATACAGATTCCCTAACGTTTTTAGTATTTAATGCTTATTAAATCTGTATTTGTACTCTCTTGTGCTATCAGATTCATTCTCCTTGATTTTTGGATTAAATAGGTACGAGCGTTGAGTCTTCTGAATAACTGCTCGTGCCTCTTCATGTGCCTCTGCTCGTATCTGTTGCAACTCGTGCCTCTTTGCCAATCATAACTCATTGACCAGTCTACGTGTCATGACACGTCATCTTCCAATCACTGTAATATGTAAACTCAATTTTTCCCAATACTATCCCAATAGACAACTACTTGAAAAAATTTCGCCTGAACTAGAGAGAACACCGGAAAATTTTAATTAGTGTTTTGCCGAACCTTCACTTCGCCTTATCATTGACTATTTTTTCAGCTTTTAATTGAATTTTTGTAATTACTCCAGTTTGAGATCTTGTGAACGTATATTGTAGAGATAAAAGGTTTGTTCAAATTTGCAGAATAAATATTGGGAATTGCCGAAGGACTTTGGCCGGAAAACTAGGGATTCTAGGGTGGGAGATGGCATGATAATGGTTTAGTGGTAAGAGAAAAATAGAGTGTGTAAAACATGCGCGCCAGCTGTAAAAAATTATGTGTTGTCGTAGATACACTCTGGAAATGTCGAGTGTGTAAGATAATATTAGTCTATAAAAAATGTGTAATATGGATTTGTTCCATAATTCTACTGCTATTGAAATGCACATGCACTGTGTCATCCTTCCACAAGACACAAGTTGTCATTTAATTTCCTGACTTTAGAGAGTAGTCGTATAATAAGAAGTCTTTCTTTGTTAGATTAAAGAAAGAAGACGTAGCAAGTAATTCTTTTCTTAATTAAGTGATATAAAAAAGAATGAGTTGAAATATATTTTTTTCTCGAAGAAAGACTTGAAATAACAGTACTCAACTGCTCTCCCAAGTCAAGAGAAGAGATTAATTAGAAAGTAATCATGATTACTTCTCGGTGGGAAATTATTTAAGAAGAATAACTTGTAATCATTGGAAAGTAATCATGATACTTATCAATGGGAAATACGTGAAAAAGAATTACTTCTAATTACACCCCAAACTTTGGTAACAGTCAAGAAATGAGATTAAGAAGTAATCATAATTTATTTTGTGGAAAATTTGATCAAGTGAGATCCCCAAAAACCAAACTTGGCAAATAAAAGTTGAATAAAAACTTCAAATGCTTTTGACATTTTTTTCCGTAAAAGAAAAAACATAGAGGTGCCTTCAGCGTGCAAGATTCTTGAAAAAGTCTTGACATTAATAAAAAAAATTAAGTAAAAGTTAATTAATCATTTAAATATTGACATGATTTAACGACTTATTGGATGCTTACTAGAGATATAACCGTTTATTAGGGTGACATGTTCATGAATCATGATAATAGATAGCTAAATTATTTAAAAAATCGAAATGAGCTCCAAATTAATATCTTAAGAGAGGGTATTAGATCTTAGTTTTACTCAAATAACTATATATACACTCTTTCATTCTCTATCAGTAATCCAAAGTTTTGTTAATATGGCTAGTGGAAAAGAAATGCTCAAAATTTGGCATAATTTTCACCATTCTCTTTATAGCAATTTCTGGTATGTTACTATATCACTCTTTATCAAGTCTTATAATTTTACTCCTAATGATTTGATTTTGTCTAAAATTATAGTATATGATATGCAGTTGAAAATTCTTGGTCTCCAAGAATATTACAAGTGATGGCTTTCAAAAAGGTGATGATACCATGGTTTTCTATACATTAGTTATGCATAGGATAATACCAAATAGGATATATAAGTAATGCTTGCATAACTAATGTATATGTTCAAAATATCTACCAAACATGATATTATTAATACATAAAACTAATGCATGCATTATTTTATCTAATGCATCTTACCAAACGACCCCATATAGTAACTTGTGGAAAGAATTGCAAGATTGATAGTGATTGCGATGATGGTTGGATTTGTAACGCATGTAAATTAACTCAAATGCATCCTCCCTTTGGAGAGTGGGCATTGGCTTGTGTAATTTAATTCCTTAAAGGATCATTCGGGTGGTGAAATAAGAGATTATAATCTCGGGATTATTTGATCATATGTATGGTACAATTTTTTAATTTCGGGTTTGATGTCTGGTACGACAAGAGGGGTTGCTCTGATGGTAAGCAACCTCCACTTCCAACCGAGAGGTTGTGAGTTCGAGTCTCCCCAAGAGCAAGGTGAGAAGTTCTTGGAGGGAAGGATGCCGAGAGTCTATTTGGAAACAGTCTCTCTACCTCACGGTAGAAAGTTCAGCAGTTTGGGTTGTATTCATCGCTAATTTCTCTCAATGTGGTTTTCGGATTTAAGTATTTCTCTTGGTACTGCACCTCTCCTTTAATTTGTTTGTTATCAGAACAATAATGTTCAATTCAATGACCAATCACTTAGTTGAACTGAATTAAAAATTAAAGAACTATTAGAAATTAAACCATATGTATTAATCTTTAACTGGGCTAAAAATATGAATTTGGTTCGAAGATATACCGTGTACGTAATCAACATACCCACTTCTTCGAAATTCGATAAATAATAATTAGAGTGGAGCACTAATTGTACAAACCTATATATGGAAAATCACCAAAAAGAACCTATAAGCAATGTTCTAACTATGTTAAGCACGTTGGTCTCTAAATCAGAAATTGACTTACGAGACATTCACTATTTGAGAGCTAGGCACCAAAGTAAATATTCTCCGGTCCACAATAAGTGACAAATTTGATTTGGGGACACTTATTAAGAAAATATTAAATTCTATTCGAAAATAGTTGGTGTGACTAAACTACCCTTCATTACATGTTGCACCATAGTTACAATAGCACTTACTTGTCTTCTCAAATGTGATGAGTAAATGACTTTTTAGGAAAGCGAAATACATAAACAACCCCTTTAAGTTGTCATCAACGATCAGACAGATACCTTAACTGACCTATTTACCATTTTAACACTTCTTCTCCACTAAAGTGCGACCTCGTAAACGTTTCACGCTGACATGGCAAAGTGTGTGCTTTATATTTAATTCTAAGCACGTGAAACTCTAAAAATTAAGTTTTTTTCCTTTTTTTTAAATTTAAAATTCAGCTTTATTTTATGTGGAGCACCATATTTTTATGTGGGTCCCACTACATTTTTTAGTTTTTCACACATTTAATTTTACTTTCTTCCCAAAATATTTCATCTTCGCCAAATCACTAGCTCCTCCACCTTCCGCCATTAATCCACCTCCTCTTCTTCAATCTTGAAAATAATGTAACAATTAATAACAACCACTCCACCATAACAATTTTACTGACCACCCACAAAAGTTCCATCCCATTTTACTCATGGTTAGAGCTGCTGGGTCTTCGCAGCTTTAGTTCGTCGGAGAAAAATAGATGCTAGGATGACTGTTTTTAGTGATCTCTTCCATGGTATTAAGGTGGAGTTTCAGTTGGTTAAAAATGGAAGAAAAGAGAAAGAGAGAGATGGTGAAATGGGTGCTCTACATGCTGTGACCTCTTTATTTTGGGAGGGGGATTGGGGGGTGGGGGGAGGTAAAGGAAGAAGATGAAATAAGAGGGGCGGCAGTGTATGTTTATTGGTAAAAAAAAAAAGGTTTTTTGCTTTAATTTTTTTTGTTAATTATATTTGTCAATTTTTTTTATTGCAATATACATTTGTCATTCTTTAAATTGGTTCATTTTACATGTCATTAGTGAGTGTAATTCACGCATATAATTTGCCGGACTCAGATGTTCACGTGGTACACTTAATAGCCACTTGAAGTGTTAAAATGATAAAGGGGTCAGTGGAGATGTCTGTTTGATTGTTGGGGACAACTTAAAGGGGTCGTTTATATTTTTCGCCTTTTAGGAATACGTACATAAGGGTAATTTTGAAAAAACAAATTGAATTTTTCCTTGATTATATAAATAAACACTTATTTTGGAACAAAATAAAAAAATAAATTGATCACTTATTATGGACCGAAGGGAGTAATACTTAATTAAAGAGCCAGACATCAAAGTAAAAAGTATTGTTTATTATCTCTATATATATAACATTTTAGCCGTAGATATTTCTTTTTTTTTTAATCCAATTGAAGCTTGTATATGTAATATGATAGGACCAAACTTATTGTTGTATATGAAAGTAAACAAAATAAAAAAAAAATCAAAAAGAGATGAAAATATGATGTAAGCGCTTACATCGACATTCTTGTGATGTAAGCGCTTACCTCGACATTCTTATGACGTAAGCGCTTACCTCGGCATTCTTATGATGTAAGCGCTTACCTCGGCAGGGCATTCAAATGCTTATAAATAGGGGTCTATATTTTCATTTATAGATCATACCAAAACTTCTTCTTTCTCTCTTCAATTAATAAAGAGTTATTTTTTGTGTGACCGTGGAGTAGACAAAAATTACCGAACCACGTAAATCTTGTCTTGTCTTGTGCAATTTATTATTTTTTTCTCTTAAATACGTTTTCTTTTTATTATCTTGACACGCTTCCCAACATAATATATATGTACCTCTCTCTCTGCGTGATTTGAGAGAGGGATCCTGAGGGTTAGGGGATATGAGTATTGAAGCTTTGCGCATTTGAACTAACACATTCTGCATTTAATTAATTCAAAAGCAATTAGTATCTCCTAAGTAATTCTTTTATTGAAATTATCAAGCTAACATTATATAGCTGAACTAGAGACAAAGTGACCACAGGTGAAAGAACCCCACTTTAATTTCCCAGCGTTTTTTTCTCCACGAACAAAACACCAACTTATTTCCTAACATTTTCTAAAAATTGCTGAAATTTCTCAACTTAATTAGAACATTGAGAGCATGGATGTCCCAAACTTGTCCTTGGCTTCCTTGTCAAAAGGATCCTCACCTAAATACATGTAAATGTATGCCCTGCACAGTAGTTCACTTTCCACCTTGCTCACTATCTCACCCATCACTGCATTTATTTAAGGTTTATAAAGTTAAATTGGCTTGAGTATTCGATAGCATGAAATGGATGATGAGAACTAGGAGCAGCGGCGGAGTCGGGATTGAACCAAAACTACTGGATTCAACCGAATCGGCAATCAACACTCTAGCTCCGTCCCTAATTAGGGGTGTACATTTAGTATCACAGAATTTTTTCAGAAAAAGGTTATCCATAAAAAAATTATTTTCTGATGTTTCGTTACCAAATATTATTTTTCAAGAAAAAGTCTATCTAGAGGGGGAAAAATGACTTTTTTCACTTATTTGCAAAAGTCATTTTCCTTGTAACTTAGACATGATATTTAGTAATTTTCTCATAAAATACTCTCCAATTTGCTATTACAGTTGATCTTTAATGTATATTTTTTTCAAAATACATTTTTTTTCGAAAATATGAAAAATCACTTTTGTTGTCCAAACATCAGAGTTTTACCTTTAGTCTGAAGAACATATCCAGGAAGCCTAGAAATCTCAATCACTGATCCAGAAGTGAGCTTTATGTCATCAGATGCTTCACCCATGATCCTAATATAACAACACAATATTAGAGTTTTGAAAATATATATGGTTAATTACAATTAATTAGCTAAGTATTTAAAGTTGTTATAATTAAGTAGTACTAGTACTTTTTGGTTAGATCTTCATTCTTGCCACCAGTGAGTTTTTTTATGGCTGCACCAAGGCCTTCATCAAAATTCTTTCTGACCATACTCATTGATAGCCCAGAAAACACTATCACCAATCGCACCATCATCCCAAAATCACTATCAATCACCATTTGATACATTTCCTTTGTTGGTTTTGATGGTGCTTTGTTCCCAATTTTTGACTGCATTAATTCCTTCATTTTCTCATTGTCTGCATATATTCCTGGATTTTCAAAGAAGAAGAAATGGTTAATTTGGATGAATACAGCAGTATTTGTTTCTAATATCCCTATCAGAATGTGTTTAAAACCGGTAATGCATGACCAATAAGGGTTAGGTCTCGGTTCGAGCTATGGGTATGAAGTTGCCTTTGTTAGGAAGCGCTTTACCCCCACCCAACGTAGGACTTTCTGGCACGAATACAGATTTAGTCGAGCCATAATACGAGTACCAGACACCGAATGAAAAATTAAAAAACGAACTGATAATGCATGCAAAATAGAGGGTTAATTTCATGTATACTGAATTTTAGTTACTGTAAAAGTAAAGTCAGAAAACTACTTTTTATTTCATTGTAATAATTATCGAAAATATCACCAAAATACTTTTGCCAACTTAAAGTAACTAAACTTAATTTAACCACTATATATAACAGAAAGTTATAAAAAATTTATCCACTATAGCAGTAAAGTCAACTTGATGAATATATTTTGTCGTTATACATATATATATAGTGGATAAAGTTTAGTGATATTGCCGTTATATATATATATATATATATATATATTGGATAAAGTTTAAAGTTCAACTATATTAATGTGACGAAAAAATAATTTTGTAGCTTTACTCTTATAGTTTATGAGTTTAGTTACTTTAATATGACCAAAATTTATTCTAGACTTTAGAGGATACAGTTTAGTGATCATACCTAAATAAAACTAATAGAAATTAAGACAGAACCAAAAGTGAAGTTATGCTGCTAACATTATGAAAGATATAGATTTAATTAGAAGATAATTAATTACCAAAGCCATATATCTTGAGGCCTATGCCAAGCATGCTTTTCTTCCTTAAACCAACAGCTTTCAATAACTTCCCATCTTGTAGTTTGACAGGAAAAGTAACTCCAGTTTTTGGTTCAGTTTCAACTGGAATTTCCTCCTCTTTTATGAGTTCAACTTGGTCACATTTCTCCTTCTTTTCCTTTTCAGATTTTTCACAAACAGAACTCTCCTTTTCTGTTTCAGTGTTAGCACTCTTTGGTTCAACTTCAGTCTTTGTAGTGACATCTTCCATTGTGCTTGGCATTTTTAAGCTGCTTGTTAAATTAAAGGCAAAAAGAGGATTGTCCGATATATTGGTTTTTGTTGTGGTTTGAAGTTTTAGGGTTAAATGGGGTTTATTTATAGGGTGAAATTGCATGAGGGTTTGCTGTGAAATATCATTTTACTTGATTTTCCCATGCAACGCAAGTACCTCGGTATGAGCATTTGAGATAAAGGGAGGAGAAATTTTCTTATACGTGTCATTTCATTTCACGTAGAATCATTAACTGATCACCTTGAATTGAAGAAGGCAGTAAATTTCAATGTATGTGATACACATTTCAAGGACCTGAGATGTTGGCTTTCATTAATGATCTCATTTAATTTCTTCATTGTGAGTGTCATTCCAACAATTTCGAGGTGATGGATGTACTAATCGAACTGGATATGATGGATAGTAAGACTGACCATAAAATGAAACTTGACACTTGCACAACTAGGAAAATAAATTTTATTTTGAGCTCAACTTTTGACCTTAAAAGATGGCTTATACAGTAACAACATGTCCAGTATAATCAGGGGTGGATGCACCATATAACTATCGGATTCAACTGAACTTGGCACTTTTGACGCGAAGTATAAATTTATGTGTAAAAAATCACTAAAATTGTAGTAATAAATAATAGATATGAACCCATAACTTTAAATGTTGAACCCATAGAATTAAAATCCTAGATTCACTTTTGAGTATAATCTTACAAGTAGAGTCTGAAGAGGACTATATGTATGCAGACCTAGCCCTTATCCTGAGGAGATAGAGAGTCGATTCCAATCAGGGGCGGATCTATTCAGTAGGTTTGGGGTGGTACGCCACCCACAAATCTTGGTCGAAACTTTGTATCTTGTTGGACCACGGATTTCGACTTTCTCAGATGATAATGGTGATTTGCAGAAGAGAAAGTTGGGTAAAAAAAGATGACCTAAGGACACTAAGGTTCAAAGACAAGGCACAAGCTTTGTCGGATTCTTCGAGGATATGTCTGAACAAGGATACAATATAATGGTCTAAGATGGGCATTTGTTTTTGGGCCTATAACGAAGTGGACTGGCTTTGGATTATCACTTGGGCCCAGAATTTCACTTGGCCCTTTCTGAGTTATACTAGAAGATTCTTTTATATTTAATTGTAAGTAGATTTTCCTTATTCTTATATTTATATCAAAGTTGGTTATTCCTTTACCAATAGTATAGGGACAGTTGTCATAGGTTGTAATACATAGATTCCTTTCTAAATTGTATAAAGAAACGTTCTGTACAGAAGAGATTTCATTCAATACACAGAAAATTTTCTAAATTTTGTTCTTTACATTATCTTTTCCCATATGGTATCAGAGCGATAAGTAACTCAGGTTGCAGATCCTACTGCTGCCTCAGTCATGCTTGATTCATCTCAATTCCAAACAGAGTGTTAGGTAGAAAACGACGGGAACACTGATCCAAACAGAGTGTTAGGTAGAAAATACAAATGTTAATAGTTGTCAGCAATGTTTTAAAAGGCGGGGTCGTGAGGCGAGGCGTTTTACCTCTAACGAGGCTAGGCGTAAGCCCTGAGACATGGGGCGTAAGTCCAAGGATCTTTAATTTTTACTAATTTCAAAAATTTTAAGATAGTATAAAATAAAAAATAATTATAAAAATACATTAAAATCACAAAATTATAACAAATAATCTATTGAAATATTTATAAAATATAATTCAACTATGAATAATACGAAAAGTATGACCTATATCATAATATACAAATTAGTTGCAACGTGATTACAACTCAAAAATCAAAAGTAATGTATTCTATGCGAAATGTTATATGTATATCTTAAGGAATAATATAATCAAAAGTAATTTGATATTCTTTTTAAATACTCCTTTTATTTAATATGCTTTCTATTTGAGAGAGAATTTATTAAAAAAACATAATTCACAATTTAAATATGATTATCAAGCATCATTTATTTTTAAGTTTCAATAAGTTAATAAAATGACACATAATTCACTTTACTATACCGTGATAACTAATTATTTGTAAATAGTTACTAGCTAGTACTGGGCTATTAAATTAATAAGTATGGTATCTCGTAAACGTGAAAAAATAATATTTTGAAAAATAGTTATAAAAAAATTATGGACTATTATATAATAAATACATAGCAAAAGTTAATGAATAAATATTTTTAAATGAAAGATTTATTTAAAATTTACTATCATATCAGTTTTAGTGGATAATATGCAATATTTTTTAATTTAATAATGACATAAAATACTATTAACGTAATGATTATTGATTAAGAAAAAAATAATTTTGATTAGTCAACTATTTATTAAAAAAATTTAAGAATTTACTAGGTTAGTTATATACAATTGCATAAAGTTATATTAGGCGAGCCATGCATCAACGTGTCGGGGGCCTAAGCCGCGACGGTTGAGGCCTAACTCTCACGCAACTAAGCGGTGCTCCGCCCCACGCGAGCCCGGAGAGTCTCAATTATTATGCATTTTAAAAAACACAGGTTGCCAGTACCCAATTCCCAATTGGAGAGCGAGCGAAGATGAAGATGATGAGAGGTGCAGTGCGTTACTCCTTCAATGGCAATCCCTTTGTCTCATTATTTGCTATTTCTCGTTTCAATGCTGTGATTACTCATTCTGCTTCGGCAATTACACCCAGAGATTATTCTTCCTCCATTTCGACAAAGGGGAAACCTTGGATTCCTAAAGGATTTGAGAACGTCAAGTGTTTAGATGATGCTCTGAGTCTGTTCCGTCAAATGGTCGAAACAAAGCCTCTTCCCTCTCTCGTCGCCTTCTCGAGATTGTTGAAGACTGTTGTAAATATGAAGCATTACTCTGCTGTTGTTTCTCTTTTTGGAGAAATGCAGAAATTAGGTATTCCAGCTGATGTATTCATATTAGGTACTGTGATTAACAGTTGTTGCCTGATGCATCGTACTGATCTCGGGTTTTCTATATTAGCCATTCACTTGAAGAACGGCATTCCATTTAATGTTGTCATCTTTAATACCTTACTAAAGGGACTCTTTGCTGAAAATAAGTTAAAAGATGGAGTTAATTTGTTCAAAAAGTTGGTGAGAGAGAATATTTGTGAGCCTAACAGATTCACGTATGAAACAATCATGAATGGGCTTTGCAAAAGGGCAAATACTGATGAGATCACCTATAATGCGATAATGGATGGATATTGTTTATGTGGTCAAATGGATAGAGCAAGGAATTTTTTTGATTTCATGGTAGATAAGGGCATTGAGCCTAGTATTATTAGCTATGCATTCTAATAAATGGATATTGTAGGAACAAAAAAGTGGACGAGGCCATGCAATTATTTCTTGAAATTTCTCAAAAGGGATTGAAACCTAATATCTTTACTTGCAATATTGTCTTGCATGGTCTTTTTGAACTTGGAAGAACTATCTCTGCACAAAAGTTCTTTGTTGACATGCTATCCGCGGGGCACATACCGGATTCGTACACTCATTGCACTTTACTTATTGGTTATTTTAAGAATGGACTTGTTGAAGAAGCTATGTCACATTTTCATACGTTGGAAAGAAGGAGACAAGATACAAATATTCAAATATGCAACGTTGTCATGGATGGTTTGTGCAAAAATCGTAAGCTCGACAAAGCTCTGGCTATTTTGAGAAGCTTTCCTTAATAGGTCTACATCCTAACATGATAACATACACTACAATGATTAATGGATTTTGCCGAGAAGGATTGTTAGATGAAGCTAAAGATATGCTAAGAAAAATGGAGGACAATGGTTGTTTGCCAAACAACGCAACTTATAATGTAATTATGCACGGATTTCTCCGAATTAAAAAAATTAGTGAAATGAAGGCATTTTTAAGGGAAATGACGGGGAAGAGCTTCTCATTTGATGCGGAGGATCCTTCTTTGCTTGACATGATACCTGAGTTTCCCTCGGAAAATAAGAAGTGAATTTATTTTCACTTGGTTTATTCGTCTATGCTCTCATGTTATGCAATTTCCTTTCACCTTTGAAAACGAAATCACATCCAATGGAATTGCAGAAACTGAGAAAATGACAATTAGAACATTGGTTGAGCTCTCCGGGCAAGCTCATTGAGGGAGGTACATTAGTTTGATTGTTTTCCCGCTTTTCTTTATCTTGGAAATCAGATGTTGTTGCACACTATATCAGAAATAATTTGAGTTTCCTTATTTGCACGCGTTATAAGTCTAGGAATATCAGTTTAAGTGGTATTAAGTTATCTCGAGATACTATCACTTTCTATCTTTTTAGAATCAATAATTACTCTCTGTAACTTAGAAATTGCTGTAGAAACAATGTTTTCTACAATATATTAGGTCTTGGTAACATCAACCATAAATGGAACACCAGAGCTAACAAGATCAAAACCAAACTTGTATCCCTGAACCATATGGTATGTATATTTGTGATTTTCCTGCAATTGACACATAACTTGTTAAAACCTGACAGAGCATATTATTACGGAACTGTATCTAAATTATTAAGTTATGTTTTCGGAGGTTTTTCTCTGATCTAAAATAATAGAACAATAATTATGTGAAGAGTAATTAACTTTATTAGTCATTGGACTAATAATCATCAGATTTCAAAATGGTTGTAGTTCATATTGTTATTGTCAACTAAAATATATAGAAGATGGAGGAAAGGGATGCCCTTTGAAGACGTACAAATCTGTTTGCAATTCTCTCCTGTAATTGTTTGTTTCTTGATTTTAGATTATGGATTTTAACTTTTAAGTATAAACTCTGCTTGTTTATTTTAAGAATTTTGGGAAATGGGGTTCTATGTTTCATCTCATATTTCAGCACTGTGTAATCTAAAGAAGTTTCATTACTTGTTATCAAATGGTGTTAAAACTATCAATCTACTTCTCAAAATGACATTTTGCTCTCTGGTTACCTGGTTATGTCTACAAGAAAAGTATTGATTCATGTTTGTCTTTTTACTTATCCAGCACACAAATAGTCAACCCTAGTCATGGCACATACCATTATCTGAGCCCCTGCTCCAACTGGGGTAACTTACACATTGCTTGCAGCTCGCTTCTTTGTGAAACTTCTGAAGACCCTATTGCTCTTAGAAGTGTAAAGTTGTATGATGTAACTAGTGTTACTCTTTGCAATAACAACTGGACTATGGTACGAGACTGAAATTTTTGAAGTTGGAAAACCGTTTCATTTGGAATATAAGCTCCTGCCCAGGCTACAGTAATTGCATGTTTAGAAGGCTAGAAGCTACAAGTGATAGCTCATTATGTACGTACATAGCACATGTTTGATAGCCTAGAGACTAGGAAAATCTGATTTATATTGTTATGAATATTTCTCTTCTATTGCAGTGATAGACCTTCTGATGGTACTGTTAACTTAGTGACTAAGTACAAAGCAAGATATTCTTATTAGCCAATGTGCTACTAACCGCATTTGACTAGATTTTTTTGTTGTTTTTGTGTTTTGAATGTCATTTTCACCTCCCTTGCTCTATCCATCAGGTTCCAGGTGAAAAAGAAGAAAGCCTGTTGTAATTTCATGAGCTTTATGCTTTCTGGGTGCAAGATCAAGAGACATTTGCAATCTCTCTCTTCACTCTTCAGTGGTGCATACCTGTTACAAGAGGTACTTTTCTCTCTAAGAACTGCTTGGTTTTTAAAGTGTTCTAGATTCTAATTTCAGTACTTTTATGATTAAACTGCTTCATAAGGACTCTTT